TTCTCAAATTCTCTTTTGATTTTGGGAGGTGGAGGTCTTTGGAAGGTAATTAGCTCATGAGCGTGGGGCCCTGTAGATTAGATTAGTGTCCTTTTAAGAACAGACCCAAAAAAGATGATTTCTATCCACCGGTTGGGCACACAGTGAGAGTCAGTTATCTACAAACCAGAAAGCGGGTCCACAAGAGGAACCAAATTGGCCCATACCTTGACCTTGAAATTCTGAGCTTCCAGAGCTGCGAGAAGGAAACTTCTGTTTGATCCACCCACTTCATGGTAATTTGTTATAGTAGTTCAAGCTGACTAAGACTCTCCAGTCACTCTCCATGATTCTTGGAATAAAATCTAATCTCCTTACCATCTCTGCAAGGCCCTGGAGGAGCTGGTTCCAACCTATCTCTGATCGTTTCTCTCTTTCTCTTGCTTATTTTGTTCCACTACAGTGGCCTTCAAATACCTTCTACTTTTGACCTTTTCCCTTAGCTTATTTCTTCTGCTTAGAACATTCTTACTACAGTTATTCATAAGAATGGATCTTTCTAGCTTTTCAAGTCTAAATTCAAACCTCATATTTCTCAGAGAGACTTTCTTACTATTCAGTATAAAATAACTTTCTCAGAAGACCATGAGTAATTATGTATTATAGAAAACAGTTTAATTTGGTCCATAGTATTATATCACAAACAGAAGTTTTCATATTAGTGTTTTTTTTTTTTCAATTTGTTTTCTGTCTTCCTCTACTAGACAGTAAGTTTTTAAGAAGTTAATGTAAGGAGAACAAATTTAAATTGGTGCTCATTCACAGTTTTTCATTGCTTTATCAGTTAATGTCTTTGAGAGATTTGTGTTTTCTTTGAGGTAGGTACCTAGACAGGGCTGAGTTAGGAAACAGAAACTAATATATTTCAAATAGAGGAACTTTAATATAGGTAATAGGTACAATGTTTATGGAAGAGATGAGAAATCACCAGGGAAATTATGAGGCCACCTATAGATTAGCATGTACAGGAAGATGTTCCTCCTCTGAAAACGAAAGTCAAAGGGAGGGAGTAGTGAAATTGAGTTGTTGGAAGAAGATGGCATTTGTCAGTATCCTTGGCGGGAGTTGAACCAGGGAGGCAAGGCCTTCTGGGGGAACTGAGTCACAGATGAGATGCAGTACAAACTCAGCTAGAGAAATATAGATATAAATAAACAGAAAAGAAGAGAGGAGAGAGAGAGGAGGAAGGCTTGTCTCTTCTTCCTGCACTCAGATTTTTGGCCAGTACCTTCCTTTGGTCAAACTCATTCAGGAATGCAAACAGCAAAGGAGTCTGGGAGATGTTCTCTGGGATACAGAACAGAGCACAGATAGGCAAGAGAAACATAACACTCAGTACAAATTCAGATTTGTGCTGACAAGAAGCCATTCTAGCACAATCTGCTATTTGATCTCTTTTAGGAATGCCAGGTTATTTTTAGGGCCTCACAGATACTTTAGTGTGGAACTTCACTTTAGGTGTTTTCTTTGACATATCCTTTTTAAAGAATTTATGTTATCAATCTAAGAGATGGTTTATAATCTACTATGTGCTCCAGAACCACATTTGCTATTTATTAACTCAAGAAGTGACCTGTTTATGGATATCCTTGACCTGTGTCTTTCAACATTTTCAAACGTGAAGATCCTTTAGAAAGACCCTTGTATATATTTTTCTTACTAGAAAGGCAACATATGCTTAATGTAGAAAAATTATAAAATAAATAAGAGTAAAAGTAATGAAAACAATCTTTCCATCTCACTATCTAAAGACAATTACTCTTTTCATTTTAGTGTATATCCTTCCATATATTTTTTCACATATATATATACACACACATATATACTTATTTATATAGATTAAGGAATAGATAGCCCCATGTTAAAATATGTGAAATAAGATATATTTTTATACCACATTCTAGAATACATATTTGTAAATTTGGTTACTTTGGTTATTAATGAATCACAAATACTTCTGTTTATTATCAATTATTCATTTACAGAATTAACTTCTCCACAGTGTTTCACTCTAAGAGTGAATGTACTATATATTACCAATTCTTAATATTTGACATTTCAAATATTCCCTTTTATAAACAACAGTGAGATGAAGACACTTATAAATAAAACATCATGCATATCTATCTTTATTTCCTTATAATATATTTATAGATGTGGAATGTTTTGGTAAATAATATAAAATTATAAAGCTTTTAATTTCCAACATGCTCTTTATAATTGCATGCTGATAGCAGTAAATATCTATTTATCTGCATCATGCCTCAGTGCATATTATCATTTATTATAGTCTTAAATTTTTTTAATATTAAAAAGAAGAAATTCCTTCCCCCCCCCATAAATCTATATAACATTATTTTGGTTACTTTAGAAAATATATTCACAAAGGTGGGTTTTCCTACCCTTTGTAAGAAGCTATCTGTCCATCAGTCTTGTCAATACTGTAACTACAGATGATTCTAAGGCAACACATCAGGTGAAATACCCCTGCCAAGGAAATTATATAAAATGTGACACTGTTATACTCAAATTAGAGATTACAAAATAGAAAAACAGTTGCCGGTGAAAGAATAGCATGCAGCTTGAAAGTCTCACTTTAAAAGAGTGGAAAGAATGGGTTTCCACTTCACTGATTTGTTCACATAATATAAAAATATGGTATACTCAGGGAGTTTTTCAGACTGGGAATAACTCAAGATTAAAAGCAACAGTTGAGAAGCAGACTTGCTACAGTTACTGTGATCCATCAGAGATCTGAGGATACATTACAAAAACAGTTTCTCCCTGGGTTTCTGTAACAGGAATTTTCCAATAACAAGTAACAAAGAGAACTTTACTGACTCAGGTAAAGCAGGCTCCAGGATTTAAATAGAAACAGTTCTGTCTTCCTTCTTTTGGTCCCAAATTTCTCTGTGTGCTAGCTTCTTTCTCAGACAATCTCTCTTCCCATATTGGGAAAGATGGTCTCCAAGAGCCCCAAATTTAGTCCACTTCTAGCCAGTGACTTGCAACACGGAAGACAGAGAAAGACTCTTGTAAACACCGCATCAAATCCTGGAAGTGACGATAACTGGTTCTGCTTGGGTCACCTGTGGAGGCAGTAAAAAGCTATGGGGACAGTTAAACCTACCAAGACAATCTGGTGTTGCGGAGGGCAGTTTCTCTACAAAACCCGGATGTCAGCCTTACTGCAATTCCCCTCCGCTGTTCTTTCCAGTATACCTCTCTGAAGACAGCTGAGAGTATAAAAGCAAAGGTATACTTAAGAGCTGCCTTCCAGTTAGAAAAAACTGTACCCACTATTTTAAGCAAGCTATCGGAAATCAAGACTTGAGACCAACATTTTCATTTCAAAGACTGTTTACAGAAGCATGGCTAAAAACAGTGGGCTGTTTAAATAGGTAACTCAACTAGCTGACTGTCATAGTTAGGATTTAACACGTGATTTTGGGGAGACAAAAACATTCAGCATGTAGCACTGACTGGCCAGCTGGTGAATAGCTAAAGTTTTGAATTGAGAAAGCAACATTTTGTTAGAAAGTGACTGAAATCTGTGTGCATTCTGTTGAAAGGTTTCCATTTCATATTTGCTTCTGTGTGTAACAAATAACCACTGACTACTGTCCTCTTCAATTGCAGTATCTATGTTTTAAAATATCAGTGAAAACAACATATTATAGAGTCTTTTTAAGATCAGTGTTTATAAATTACCCTAGATAAAAGTTAGCATAAGCAATAGGCTAATCTACTGAATATTTACATACTACATGTAAAAATAACAAAAAAATCCAAAATTTTTTCATGATCTACAAATACTCACAGGTATCTAAACTCTTAAAAATGAATCTCTGTTGCTTTTACTGGCTTCTTTTGAGGAAAACAGATTCTCCACTTTCTTGCATGCTTTTATTTTTACTTGATAAGAGCTTGCTTTCCCAGAAATGGCTAGAATTGATAAGGCCTTTTATTCTTTCTCTCTTTCCCTCATATTTCTCCTTAGACGTCTCTGACTAATGCAGAAAATATGAGCAACAATGCTGGATAAAGGATGTCAGATTTTTGAAATCAGATTTCTGGTCAATTGTGTAATCATGAAAAAGTTATTTATTAAGCCACTTTGAGTTCAGTTTTCTTTACTGAAAATTTTGGGAAAGCTAAACACTACCTCATTAGGACAATGTGAGAATTAAAACTGCTAACACATATAAAGTTAAAATGAATAGCCAGAAAGATAGGAATCACTTAATAATAGCTGTTATTATTTACAAGGGACAATGTTTGAGATAACAACAAAAATTCCAAATTGTATATTTATCCCAACAACAAGTGACTGCATAATTTCAAGGCAATATCACTATTTGTGGTGTTCTGATACACAATCTTTTCATTAGAAATTAAGATTTCAAAATTGGTTCCTAACAAGTGAAAATTTCATTCATTGATCTTTCATATAAGAAGAAGTATAGATGCAGCAACTTTTTTATTTAAAGACATTAGCATTTGGTATAGATTCTTGTGTTCAATTAGTTAAAAATAAAGAAGGTACATTGTTTTCAGTGTGAGCTGATAATATACTTATAATCTTAAGTGTGCTTTGCTTTCACGTTGAGGAAGAGAATCCTTTCCATTGCTATCCCTCTCATCACATTTCTTCATTGTTCCTATCTAAGTTGTTATTAGAAGATACATGTTGAATCTGCCCATGATCTTTCATCTTTAGATAATCTTTTAAATAGCATGCACCATAATTGAGTTCAGGTGGCAGTCATGAATGAGATAAATCTTGAATGAGATTAAGATGAATGACAGAACTGCTTGCCAAAGTCCCATTGCCCCAGAAAGAAATGAGAAATTAATAGAATCAGGATTGGTGTTGTCTGACTACCAAAAAAAGAGAGAAATGTTTAAACACATGCTCTGAATATGTCAGCGAAAGACAAATCTCTGTCTTCCTTTTGTACCTTTAAGACTCCTGTGTTCCTGGGATCAACCATGTAGAACCAGAACCGAACAGCACACATTCCAAGGCTTGCTGGGAAGTATTGGGAAGTGGTGATTCTTGCAGTGTATCCTTCTTTGGGGCCAGATGAGTTGACAAACAGGAAGTGCTGGCCACTACCTTGAAATAGATAAACAATTTTTATTTAGTGAATGATATATTTTGCAGCATGAGGTGGAATATATTTAAATCATGTGTGAATTTGTTTTCCCCAAACACACCCACGCATGCACAGAGAAAACTAAACACAATTCACTTTCTGTCAATTATATATCAACAATATTGACTTCTTTAAACCAACATTAAAAAGAGTGTCACCATGATCACGTAATTCACAAAATTCACCTTGGTATGTGACTTGCACATAAAGATGATCAAATATTTCGTTGACTCTGAAAGAGTATTCTTTTTCTCCTACATTTCTCAAACTTGTCTGTCAGTTTCAAGCAAATAAAATATTTCGTATCCTGCATGTAGAACAGGTATGGATGGTGTTGGGACTGATTGATACTGTATGTTATTTTTGGTTGTTCCAATTCTCATACTGACCAAAGTAGCAGTGAATGGCAGGTGAGAACTGCAAAGTGAAATGTAATTCTGAAATTTACCTTGTTATTTTTCTGAACAATAGATAACTTCTCAACTACATTAGTATGTGAACGATCTCTCAATTTAAACACAATTGGATTTTCTTTTTCTGAAGATATCATCAAAATGCATCATAGTTACTACTTCCTCTGCGGCTTTTACTAGGGGAGAATGAAATGCATATATATATACGTATTTATACACATATAAACGCTTCCTTAGGTTAATTATTTATTTATAGTTCTAAACGAAGTCTATTAAAATATTCTTTAGTTACAAGTATTTTTTCTTGTGACTTTCTCAGTATTTTTACTGAGAAATACGTGTGTAAATCATAAATTGTGAGTTAACAGTATGCCTTTTCCAGAATGTCATATAGTTGGAATCATACAGTACATAGTCTTTTTAGATTAGCTTCTTTTAATTAGCAATATGTACCATTTAAGGTTCTTCTGTTTCTTTTTGTGACTTGATAGCTCATTTATTATTATCACTGGGTAACATTTCCTTATATGGATGCACCACAGTTTCTGTATCTATTCACCTACGAAGGACATCCTGGTTTCTTCTCAGCTTTAGCAAATGTGAATACAGTTTTTATAAGCATTAGTTGTGTAAGTTGTTATGTGGACAGAAGTTCTCAACTCATTTGTAAGTACACCAAGGTACACAACAGCCGGATCTCACAGTAAGACTAGGTTTAGCTTTGTATGAAACTGACCATCTATTTTCTAAAGTTGGCAGTCTCACCAGCAAAGAATGAGAGTTCCCATTTCTTCTCATTCTTATCTGCATTTGGGGTTATCAGTGACTTGGATTTTAGCTACTGTAATAGGTAATACTTATTCGTGTTCTCTATTGAGGGCAGCTCTTGTTAGAGAGAACAGACTGTTCTGGATAAATGGCAACTTTTCTCCTCCACCAGCTCAAGGCAGAGAGGAGTTTTCTCTGATCTTTACTGTGAGAAATGGTAGGGCTCCTGAAGTTAAAACGTAAAGAAGTGTGAGGACCTGTAACACTGAATCTCCCCCAGGATTCCTTAATCTCTCAAATAGGTTCACGTTGTTGCTGCGTAGTTGCCAAGTCATCTCCAACTCTTGCAACTCTGTGAGCTGTAGCCCGCTAGGCTCCTCTGTCCATAGGATTTCCTAGGCAAGAATACTGGAGTGGATTGCTATCTCCTGCTCCAAGGGATCTTCCTGACCCAGAAATCGAAACTGCGTCCCCTACATTGGTAGGCAGATTCTTTACCACTGAGACACCTGGGAAGCCCAGTGCACGCTGAGCCTAGAGCACTGCATCAGTTAGGAGTTACAACTTCCTCCCCCAGTTCTGATTCCTGCAGAGGTTTCTGCTCTTGAGCTTCTGCTCCAGGAAGCTGTGATTCTGTTTCTCCTCTTTGTCTCCAATTTAGAGGCAGTGGTTTGCATCTGACATCAATTCTCTAACAGATCTAAAAGAATTGTTGATTTTTAGTGTATTCAGCTTTTTGTCTTGTTATGAGGATAGTAATAATGACTTCCAAATGACTTACATGCCAGATGAGAAACTGAAACTGACTTGTATATATTAAAAAAAAAAAAAACTATTCCTTTCTAAAAGTATTTCTCTTCATTAAGGACCCTTATAATGTCTGGCAAAATAAAGAAAAACTTTTATCCAAGAAAAATAACCAAGAAACATGAAGTATGAGTTATTGCAGCAAGATTCTCCTCAATACAAAAGAGTGGCAGGAATTCCCTGATGGTCCAGTGGTTAAGAAATGGACTTTCTAGCCAGGGGACTGGGTTTGATCCCTGGTCAGGGAACTAAGATTCTGCATGCCATGACTAAGACCTGATACAGCCAAATCAGTAAATAAAGCATTTGTTTAAAAAAGAGTGGTAGTGGAAATAATTTGAAATGTTTCCCTACTACATCTGTGAATGGTCTTGTATCTTCAATGTTCTATGAAATTTATTTCATGTGCTAGCAAGTACTGGATTAGGAAAGTTGTACACACTATTTTAATTCAACAATGAAACAGTTTTCTTTCACATTTCATTGCAAGGATGTCACTTGCTTATTTTCTTATTTGGAAAATGAAGACATATATGTGGCATGCACAACCAAGATATACCTACACTTCATCTGTCAAACCTACTAAGAACTATGACTTATTCATTAAGAACATGAATTCTTTAACTCTATGCTATTTTGATTAAATAAGAACATTGAAGCTTTCCCTCATCTAATTACATTTTACACCCTTGATGACTTATAATTAGCTTAAATAATTACTCTTTTATATAGTTAAGACTATTGAAAACATAGTGGATATAAAGAAATAGCCTTGATTGAGTTCCAAATAAGGTAAATTAATGCTAACTGTCTGGGCTGCCATTGTTAGCTCATTCCTGAGGTGGTGTGGCTCTGTCATAGGAGCATCCTTGTAGGCATGCTCACAGCGGGGAGCAACACTGGGTGCAGGCTTTGTGAGTGAGCACGTGGTGTGGGTGTGGCTCTTATGTAACATTATCAGTGTTCCAACCATGGGGGTGGGGCCAGCAGCAGCCGCTTTGTTGGTGAACACACTGCGTGGTGGGCTGTATCACAGAATGCCATGTACTCTGCAGACAGCCCCTAGGGTGAAGCATGCTGGGATCCCTTTCCAAATGGAGCATTCCAGTCCCGCCTACCTCACACCACAGCTTGGAGCTGGATCTGAGCAGACAGGTCCTGGGAGAGTCCTGCCATATAGGCAGCTCAGTTTCTAGGAGGCAGCACAACCACCTCAATCCCCACCGCCATCACAGCCTGGCATTGAGTCTTGTAAGAACAAAATGGAGAAAGGGGTGCAGCATTTGGGCTGCTTCTGGGTAGAACTGAGGACCCCTGCGTGGTCACTCAGTGCATAGGTTCTCTGTGACCACACAGGCCTCACTTGCACTAGTGCTCACCTTCTTAGGGACAGAACACACACACGAGAAACAGACCCTTATCAACCCGACCCTCAGGACCTCTACTCAAACAACCGGGAAGCAGACCCCATCCCTGACAGGTCTGTGACAGCCGAACAGCAAAGAGGTCTGACACAACTTCCAGACAAGGCTTTTGTCACCACACCAGCCACACCCCCCATCAAAAGCATGACGGCCGGCACAGCCTTTGGGATGTATGCCTGTCGTGTCTTGCCAACAGAGCTTGCACCCAAAATATTGGACTCACACAGTCTGGACAGGGATGGTCGCACATAAACACAGCCCTTCAGGACCACAGTAACTGTTTCTCCTGAATTTACAGAGACAGAGAAATTTGAGAAAAAGTAAAAGTGGAGTAGCAATTTCCAATTAAAACTACAGGAGAACTCCCCTGAAAGAAGAAACAATGAAACAGGCCTTTTCAGTCTGCTAGACCCCAAGTTCAAAAAGGAGGTGATAAAAATGATAAAGGAATTAAAGATTATCAAAAGCTGAAAACTTTCCTAACACCCAGAACAATTAAGAAAATGGTGATAGAAACATATATATCAATACTTACCTTAAATGTAAACAGATTAAATGTTTAAAGCAAAGGGCATATACTGGTTAATGGATAAAAAAGCAATACCTGTGCATATGCTGTCTATGAGACCTCCCACTCCAGATCTAGGGATGCAAAGGACTGAAAGTGAGAGGATGGAAAAACATATTCCATGCAAGTGGAATTCAGAAGAAAGCTGCGGTAGAATACTAAGACAAAATAGAGTTTAATGACTATTATAAGAGACAAAGAAGGACACTACATAATGATCAGGGATCAGTCTAAGAAGGTATAACTCTTGTAAATATATATGCCCCCAGCATATGAGCACCTCAATATACAAGGCAAATGTTAATATGCATTAAAGGAGAAACTGACAGTAACACAGGAATAGTGGGGGACCTTAAACCCCAATTTCATCAATGGACAGATCATCTGGACAGAAAATCAAGAGGAAACACAGGCCTTAATACACCCTTTATAAGCAGATAGACTTGATATTTATAGAACATTCCATCTGACAGCAGGAGAATACACATTTTTAAGATACATGGAACATTTCCCAGGACTGATCACATGCTGGGTCACAAAGTGAGCAAATTTAAAATTTAAAAATTCTTAAATTCAAGAAAATTGAAATCATATCAAGCATATTTTCTCACCACAACACTATGAGATTAGAAATGAAGGGGGGGAAAAAGCTGTTAAAAAAAAACACAAAACAACACATGTGGAGGCTAAACAATGTGCTACTAAACAACCAGTGGATCACTGAGAAAAATAAAGAGGAAATAAAATACCTGGAGACAAATGAAAACAGAAGTATGATGATCGAAAACCCATGGGATGCAGCAGAAGTGGTTCTAACAGGGAGTTTTATAGTAACTTACTTACCTTAGGAAAAAGAAAAACCTCAAACAACCCAACCTTACACCTAAAGGAACTGAAGAAGAGATAACAAAATCCAAAGCTGGCAGAAGGAAAGAAATCTTAAAGATCTGAGCAGAAATAAATGAAAAACAGATGAAGAA